AGAGGAGAGTTTTAAAATACCAAAAATATCCTTGCATTAAAATTTTAATTTAAAATTATCAAATTTATCTATTGATTTGTGGTTAATATTGGTTCTCACAGTTACCACAAACAACTCAGTTCTCCCTTGAATAGGCCCCTATATATACATATATAAGGAACAACCAAAAGATTATGAGGTAGCTTAATGAGATTTGAGTATTCATCAAATCTTGAAATGTAATGTATTTTGTTTATCCCACAATGGTGAGAAAATGATGTAATTGAAAAATGGTGTGGGTATTTATTAGGAGGTGGCAAGGCCTTTGTGTAAACTTATGGGTTAGCTAATTTTAGCCGACCCTCTGTACTCGTGTAGTTGGCTAATTTTGGTTAATCAACTAAACTTACAGATTGGTTGTTTTTCACAGTCCCTCTTATTATAAAAATTAAAATTTATAATACACTTATGTCGTGTACACTCAATTGCATTTTGAACTGTTTTTACAAAATTTAGTTATAAAACAATGTTTATAAGTTAAATTAAAAATATAATTTCTACATACACACGTCATAATAATAAAGCAGTATCAATGGTATTATGTCACAAATAAATCAATCATCAATAGAAACCAAAAGTAAATGATGTGGCACAATGATGATTAAGTATATTTAAATATTAAATGTGGTTGATGTTCATCATCCCGGTGAGGAGATGAAAAATTGGAAGCAGAGATTGAATATATGAAAAGAAAGGGGGTATTTTTATGTCAAATCATTAAATTGGTCCACCCTCTTTTTATGGAAAAAAAATCTTCACATACATAATTAAAAGAATATTTTCATATCAGATTTGGTTCATTTTGAATTTACTCTATTTTTGCAAAAACTCTATCTATATAAAAAAATTATTTTATATTATAAAGTTAAATGAAAAACTTTAAAATTATGTAATGAATAATTTATTGATTGTTTTCGTTTTATAATTAACATTGAATCTATGATTATATTTATTATAACTAAACTTGATAAGAAAATAAATTAAACTTATATATAGAGAAGCAACATGTTAAGGTATTGTAGCGACTTCTTGAGAATATAAATATATTCGAAGACAGAGGTAAGTATACGAAAGAAAGAAAAAATGAATTTGAAATCAATMATCAATTAATGTCAATATCAATATAATATATTAAAGGTGGAATCAAACAAATAATACAAAATATATAATCATGTTTGAGATCAAAATCAACCAAATTATACAAAATAAGAAAGTGAATATTTAAAATGAGTTAGTTATCTTTCAGAACTAGAAGAATTTGTGCAACTTTTGTGCTGACATTTTTTTGGCCAACCATCTTTTATGAAAAAAGTTATATACCAAAAATTAATATATATAAATTGCATAAATTTGACGATAAATCAAAATCATAAAATCGGTAGAAGTTATAGTTGTAAAAACAATATTTATGTGTATAATCTATATTTTGATATCTTTATTTATATATATATATATATATATATATATAAACAGTAATCATGGATAATTAGGTGACAACTTTTAAGCATTATAAATCATTTTTCCTCATATTATTGTTTGCATCCCACATTGGATCAAAGAATAAAAAAGACATGTTGAAGGTGGATACAAAATGGGAAAGGGGAATTTTTTTTTTCTCAATATTGTTTGCATCCCGCATTCCATGATGGAATGAAAGTGGTAAGAGGGAGATTACTACAAAAAAAATGACTAAAAATGAAACAAACATATTTTTCTCGGATTTCGACATTTTGCTTAAGATCAAATATAATACATGTTTTTAGTTTAACATACATGTCCCGAATCTTAGGTTTTTTGTTTAGATCAAGTATATTATATGTTCTTAGTTTGATATCTAATAAATGGGTTTTCAACCTGCTAGCTATTTTATTTTCTATATGAAATGCTCATTTTACTACTTGGTGATGTAGTTATCTATCCGTCGTATTGGTTTTACTACTATCAATTATCAAATGTTACGATAAAGTGTAATATTTGTTTCTATCAGTTTAATATCTGATATGTGGGTCATCGACCCACTTGATATTAATTTTATTTTTTATAGGGGAATATCATTTTTCTTAGCTTGGTGATGTAGTTCTTCATGCATCGAGTTAAACTTCTACTATTTTTGCTACAACTTACGTACCTCTTTAATTTTCACTTGAAATATTATACAATGTTTTTTTTCATAACTTCAAATGAGATTTTCAATTAAATTTGTTACAAAAATTAAAATTGTAACTTTGTCATCAAAAATGAGATTAAAACAGTGATTTCTAATTAAACAAACTATTAACATTAGTCAAACATTTGTGGAGTACTTTGCAACACCATAGTTAGAGAACTTAAATTAACATACGGTTCTAAGATTGTTGTCAAATTCTCTTAAAACTTTTAATGTTAACAAGTAGTTGTCACATACATTTGCTTAAAATTTGTTCACACGATGATATTATCGCCAATGCGGAAAAATACAAGAATCCGGATTTAATGCTCGTGTCGTAAGCAAAAAAAAATCTTGGAAGAACCAATTTTTTTATGGAACGTGTTGATTCATATTAAATTTGACTACTTTCTCATATTTTATTCATTTTTATTCGACCTTTTCGGAGTTCATTCTCTGGACAACTCCGTTTAACCAGTCGGAAGGAATCCACCGATTAAACGAAGTTGCCCAGAAAATGAACTCCGGGAAGGTCGAATAAAAATGAATAAAATATGAGAAAGTAGTCAAAATTAATATGAATCAACACATTCAGTAAAAAAATTGCTTCTGACACGAGAATTAAATTCGCATCCTTGTGTTTCTCCAACAAAATAAAAGTCCGCGTTTGAGTTCAACATGCGGTTGTAACACGGGTGGCTTTAAAGACTAATTTTGAACATAAAATCAACAAACATTCCTAAACATCATATGTTACAAAACCAACATTAATACGAAGATTTAACCTAAAATTGTAACTTTAATAATGAATTCTCCTAACACGTTGTTGCACGCCTTCTTGTTCTTGACAGCCAAAAATCATCCAAAAACTTCAGTTTTTTTTAGGCCTTGCTTCAAATTGGTGCGAGAAAAAGAGATGGAATAAAAGCCTTCTTTTTGGTTTATTGGCTTTCTTAAATATGCAACACAATACGAGGTGAGTCCCTCCAAATAAACTGTCACTTATTCGGTAGATGTTTATCAAATACTCATCGAGAAAGCATTTATGGACAATAACCACCACCATCATTTCTAACATGGTAACCTTAGACCAATCAATCGAATATCGATTAATATATAATTGATTGAACACTACTCGCTAACCGGATGTAAGAGTCTTCTCCTTTACTTAATAGGTATGAACTTCAGTTACTGCCAAGCCTCTTGTCAGGAGGCAAAAATGCTAATCTTTGCTATGCTCATCAGTAAGGTAAATAACCAAGTAAACATGTCCGTTGATGTATTTTATAACAATGATATGAAAAGAAATTGAAAGATCGAAGTTATTGATTTCGCATTCCATGATTGAGGATTATGTATAATAAGCTGAACATTGTATAAAAAGTATAAAATTTTCATTTTGCATTTGATAAATATAAAAATGTAAATTGCATGGAATAGAGATATATTTTGTTTCGGTTACTCTTCTAGACTTGGGATCATGTGAGACCAAGGGTTTTTCGTGAGACCCGTAAGACCAATTCTCAACCCTTGGATTAGATATACAATATAAACATTCATAATCACAAAATTGCCATGAGACTTCTCAATAATCACAAAATTGCCACGAGACTTCTCAATAATCACAAAATTGTCACCGTGCAACTTTAGACCATTAGATCATTAGCTTATAAAGTTGATCAATGAACATAAATTAGGATCTCACGAACACCCAACCCTACTCTTCTAAGTAGCTTACTTTTAGCAGAAAGTTTCATTATTTTAGAAACGATTTTAATCAATATGTAATAGTTTTATAGTTGGTAAATTATCGTAGCATCATTTCATTCTACATATTGCGATAACCAAACTGGCGATTCGTCGCCACAGTGATGGCCATTTTATCAACTAATTGGCCGAAATGCAACCTAAGTTTTGTTTTCGTCTCTATATACTGTAACAAATATTTTTTTTCAAAATTTCCTATTTTATATCTATTTTTTACGGGTAACCTACTGATCTTGTAACATTTAATGACGTGGATGTCAAGTTTATCGTCCCCTTCTATGTAACCCTTTTGCGAAAATCTCATAAAGGGGACATCCACGTCATCAAATGTTATAAGATCAACATATTACTGATGAGTACAAAATAGAAAATTTTGAAACTCAATAAAATAAAAGTATTCATTACACTAAATAGAACTAAACCAAACTCAGTTGTATCTTGATGCATTTTTGGACCGTTGGTGAAGCCTTAGTTTGTTGCATCACCTGGATATGAGTGGTGTGGAACTTAGGAGCCTTTTACCAAACACTTACCTTACCGAGTAAGCATAGCAAGAACCGAGCATCTTACCATATAAGAGGTATAGGAAGGATCGAGAATCTTACTCGGTATGTGAGAAAGAAGACTCTTACCCTGTGGTAATAGACGCTTACCAACAATTCAGTCTGATGGCCTATCATGTTACCAGATAAGGATGGTGAGTAAGTGCTTGCCGGGTTAGCATTTGATAAACGACCCCAAAACAATCAATTGATTTTCTGGAGATGAACACATGCCAACAGAACTAAAAGAGTTCACCATTAATAGCCTTTTTTTTGTAAGAAGCAAGTATTCAGAAGAGATGTATCAATTCTTACATCCATCAGCTTCAAGAGCAGCAATCTCATATCTGATTTCTTCCAGATGGTCATTTATGGTGGTTACTGCATCCTGCACCCCTTGAATGGCTTCCTTCATGGCATTATCATATTCAGCATCTGCTTCTGCTTCTTCTGTTCCAGCAGCTTCAGTTATCTCATGGACATGCACACATTCATGCTGCTGCATATCATTTCTAAATTTGCACTTCTCATGGCTCACCAGACGCTCCGAAGGTCGACCAGCTTTCTTCAGAACCTGAATGGTTGCCGTCTGTATCATATACAACAACAAAGATGTCATCGCTTGCTTAAACCTGTTTCTGCAATATCCATATAAATGAATAACAGTTTTGCATGAGAAAACAATTTTATATATAGTAGAAAACAATTTTAAATGAACAACAGTTTTGCACGCCATGTGTCACTCTTCATGATGGATATTCATCATGAATAACACATTCATCATGAATAACACATTCATCATGAATATGGAAGCGTTATTATTCATCAAAAATCACACATTATCGATGAATATGGACGTGTTATGGACATGTTATTCATCATGAGTTCATATTCCTGATGAATATGTCACGTGTCATACTGTGGGCGGCCCCCAGTTCCTAATCAATTCTAGGTTCCTAACAGAACCTAATCCTGTATACAATATATAATCTATGAAAAATCTAATGAGAGGGAGAGGTACTGTAACAAGATATACTCTCCCTTAAATAAGGAAACAAACTAGAATAAAGATCTATGAAAAATCTCCTAATTACAAAAAGGCCCCTAGCTTTGTAGTCTATTTTCACATTTACGAAATCAAAAAGGTAAAGGATAAACATGACCATATAGGAGTGCTAAGAACAAACCTAAATGTAAATATTGGAATAAACCTTTCTACACTTGAAATAGTTATCACCCAAGCCGATTGCCATTTTTGCTGTATGTTTTGCTGGCAAGGGGGTGAGACGCCAGAGGGTACAATAGGAATTACAAGTAAATATTACAGAATGTACAAGCTACAGAAAGTGGGTTTATATATTTGTCGAGATAAGATATCATGTAGGCTATAGCTGACGCTGATATGAAGTGAGCAAATTGACTTTTCCCTTTATATGCATCAAGATCCCTGGTGTAAGGCTAATTGACAATATAGGACAATCGACTTTCATAACACAATCTGGAAGGTGCTGGGGAAATGTGTGGATCAAAGTAAAGTAAACAAGGATTGGCATAAGAAACACATATAAAGCATTTAGAAGAGTAAGTTACAGAACAATTAAAAAACATGACCAATAAAAAGAGGAGCAAAGAGCCAATAAGCCAATGACAGAAACGAAAAAGATGTTCCAATGAAAAGGATCCATCATTGTCAAAAAGGAAGCTATGATGCTGCAAAACTAAACATAGAAGTGGAGATTCGACATTGATTAATGCATTTGTTAACCCAAAAAGGCAGAACGTTTAGAACATAAACCACGAACGACTGTTAGAAAAATTGGCAAAAATTGGTGGATGAGGAAAGCTATTATATAAGAGAAATTGGTAGGTGAGGAAAGCTATTATAGAAGTCATGTAACATCTGGTAAACATCTTTATTTTGTTTCCCATAAAGATTGTTAGAGAATGTTCTATTTTCTTATTTTAGGTGAAAATGTAAGTTGATGACAGAAAATCATATGTTTCTCTGGTATATGGAGTTTTTTTATTTCTGAAGTTATTGATGGTATGGCAGAATAACTCCAGAGACTGGACATTGATTTTATCCTATTCATTACAAGCTAGTCAACATATCACTAGCCTGTATGATAGAGACATGGTTAATTTCTAGCAAGGGCAAGCATTCCTCTCTATCTGTTACTCTCCCAATCTGAAGGTGCTTACAGAGAAGACAGGTATCAACACAATATCCATTAATAAAGATATCCCTAAACATCGTCTGACTCCCTTGGTGATAAGATGGGGAAGGTTACTCCCTCCACACCCAAAAAGAATTCTACTTTAAAATCTAGAAAGAATCTTTTCAGATAGTTTTACACATGATTAAATACATGTTATCATTATCATTTTACCTAATCCATAAAAATGATGGTATTTAGGAACATCAAGTCATCTTATGTTAACTTGAGATGAGATCCCCTTTCAAAGACAAAGAAAAATTCTGAAGTGGAAACCACAAGGGTGGTGCCTGATTGGTTTGAGCTTGGCTTTAAAGGTCAAAAGTACCAGGAGGTCTCAAGTTCAAATCCAAGGAGGAATAAAAATTCCCTTGTGGCCACGGAGGTTCATATGTGGTGACTCCGGGCTATCTGCAAAGCAGGTGGTCGCCTGGGATTAGTCAGCCCGCATAGCTGGTTGGATATCCAGGTTAATCAAAAAAAAAATCTGAAGTGGATGCTTTTGGGATGGAAAGAGTAACAAGCAAAAAGAGAACATTGCTAATGCTTCTATGTTTTCGGATTATTCCGTTCTTATCAAGTTACCAACAAAATAAGGATATCAATATGTAAAAACAAAATGCCTTCATATGTGGAAGGTTGAGTAAAAAGATTAATATGGGATGCAGTTAACAAGTAGCCACATCCACACTAAACTCATGTGACTAAAATATAAAGTACCAAATGCAGCTTTTGCTTTTCCTGCACTTGAACAGATCTCAGCAAAGCGGCCAAGTCACTTCGGCAGTAACTGGGACTAAGAAATATTGACTCCAACTCAAGGACCTGCACTTATGGAGATACTTACATCAACATAATGCCATTAAAAACTTTAAAGAGAGGGTGAAATATCCTAGGGAATATGTTGCTCACCTGCTTTGAGCAGTCACTAAATTCTACTGTGATCTCATTGCAAAGTTGTTGGTAAGCAGAATCTCCCAAGTCAGTAAAGCCCCTGCAAATAAATGTTTCCTAGATAAGTTATAAGCACAAACATTTTGAAAGCTGCAGCTAAAATTTCCCTCCTTTTTCCCCTCTTTCTGTTGGATACTGTTAGCTATTACTCCCTCCATCCCAAAACAAATGTCCTCAGACTTAGAATGTCAAATATGGTACTCCCTTAAGAAGAGCCCTTAAGAAAATCCGTTGGGGCATAATCCTCTTAGTAACATACTGATTTGCATCTCCTGGAGAAAGGTGCAAAATATCTCCCTCTGACAACACGCTAAATCAGAACATTGATGTGGTGCTAAGATGGGCAAAGTTGAGATTACAACTCTGTGGTGGAAAGAATGAGCAAGGATGTTCTGTTTGACAGGTATAGAGGTAAAGAAGCTAGCTGTAAGATAGGATTTCTTTCAAGAAGCTGGAACGGAGGGTTGCTTAACAGAGAAATACAAGGTTCATTGACATGCTAAGTAGGTAGAAGAGTTAATATTGCATGTGTCCAAGAAACTATGCAGGTAGGTGAACAAGCTACGAGAACAAAAAGTGTAATCTTTAAACTATAGGAAAAGAACAAAAATGGTGCAGAAACTAAATGTGTTGTTTATTTGGGTGAATGGAGTGAACTAGGAATGTGATTACCTATTTGTGGCCATGATCTTATCACTGGAATGAACCTTTCATAATCCTTCGAAATATTTGGTTTTCTTTATTAGTTTAGTAACTGAATGAGCTGATCTGAAGAAGTTGCTGCATTGACCTTCATATTTGTTATGTTCTCCAATGTACAAAATAAGTGTGTCCCAAAAAGAATTCTCATTATAATTTTCAGTCTCAAATTGGTTCCATTAACTACAAAGTTCTAGTATATGCTCTTGTGACTGTAGACTAATAATTAGAATAGTTAGTTACAAAAATATACTATAGTGGTATATTATTTTCAATCTAAGAAGCTAGAAACATCCACGTTACTTAAAAAAATTAGTAAAAGGTAAATCTACATCATTGGAAAAAATCTGCGTTATCAAAACACCTTAAAATCTTTGCATGAGATAGGGTTGAATGATGAAGGACATCAACAGTTCCAACTTCAGTTTTCATATAAAGAGAAGTAACAAAAATACGCCAAAGAATCTTGCACAAACCACTAAAGAATGTTATAGATCAAAGAATCAAGAACAAAAAGACCAAACAAAGCAAACCACACATTGAGTTCTTAGAATCAAGTTATCAAGATAAATATAGAAAAATGTATTGCTTCAGACATGGATACTTTCGTAATTGTCATTTTTCTTTGGACGCCACCTCTCCCTCTGGAATAAACAAAGAATTTGCTGGAACGAGATTCCAGTCGATGATCCAAGAAATAAATTAAAAGAGGCATTCCATTCTGGCATCCAGTCCAGATTCCCTACCAAAACACAACATTAGTATATAAGGGTGCAAGGAGTAACATGGTCTAGGTTAATAGAAAAGGAATAGACTTAGTTTGGTCAAGCTAGATGTGGGTGAGATTGTTATAAGTGTCATAAGTGAAAATGCCCCAAGTAGGCTGATACTAAATTTCAAGAGGATTATGGGAAGACCTATTATGTTCATCTTGGTAGAATCAGTAGACGTATTGAAAAGCTTTGCAAAGGTTTCAAACATGGTAATAGAAGTTAGGAATGAAAAGATTTCAGAATATGGGTAGTTAATCATGCCACTATAGCGGTGGTATAGAGGTTAGCGGTTTGTCGACAGAATAGCACTTGACGTTTCACTGTACCGCTAATAGTGGCACTATTTGCCACGATTCCACCACCTTTTGTAATTCACATTGCGTTATCAAATCATCAATTATTGTTTGATTTTCTTTTGTGATATTTGTTGGTCTTTTTAGCGTTGGGCTTTTTAGTGATATAACGGATTTAGGACACCGACTGTAGAAGACTGATAGTTTAGTGGATAGGTGGACCATTGGACTCTCATCATACTCGCTTTATGTCTTCCTCACTCATCCTCCGCTCCTTGCTTTATCAATTAGCAACCCATGTCGCCTCATCATCGACCAAAAGCCGAAACTTAGGTTCTATACTGCCTCAACTTCTCGTATTATTCTTGTAACCGTAAACTTACTTGTCATAGAGTTCTCATAATGATTACTCAGTTAGGATGGCAAATTTGAAAATGTGCTCTACTGTTCTATACAACTAGACTGCTATTGTGCTGTATCTCTATTCTTTATCCACAAGCTTTACGGTTCTGTTCATATGTTAGAACTTAGAATACACCCAGTATGGCATGTTGAATTATGAAATATTATGTTCATTTGACGGTCCTATGTGGGTATACTTTGACGTCTTTACTGTAAATGAACTTTAGACATGATATTCTATTTGTAAGTAACCTGAGTTGATATTTTTTTACAAACTCTTTTTACTATTTTGTTTGTGTGAGACTTGATTTCCTTGCCTTGATTTTAGTATTAGATATGTATTACATATATAATATATTAAGTTGTGCATATATATAGTGGGAGGTTCAAATAAGAAGGCTAAATATCGTGAGAAGGTAACAAAGGAAGGTTTTTGTGTGAATCATTGAAAAAATCCATTTGCAGATACATATGTGAACCCATATGAATAATATATAACGTCTAGAATAGTTGAATTAATGGTCAGTCTCATTCTCTACCCTGCTGCCAGATGGGGTAGGGCTTTATTAATGGAACCTCCCCCCCCCTCCCCTCCTTTGAGCAAGATCATTTAAGTAATATTAATAAGGAAGCACTTAACTTAGGGCAGCCAGTAGAAGGTTAAATATCGACGGAAGGGAAGAAAGGAAGGTTCATATGTGAATCATTGAAAAAAATTCGGAAAAACCATTTGAAGATGCATATGTGAACCCATATGAATAATATGTAACGTCGGTTCACATATGCATCTTCAAATAGAATTTTTCGGAATTTTTTTCAATGATTCACAAATGAACCTTTCTTTCTTCCCTTCTGTCAATATTTAGCCTTCTTATTTGAACTATCCCATACATAAACTTTTGTTTATAAGATTAACCTCTATTTTTCTTTTCGATATAACTCCCACCCCAACCACTACAACAAATCACAGTCCTGATAGCAATTCCAGTTTACGACCACAATAACCATTCAGGGTGAAATGCATTTGGAATGATAAACCACAGCTGAATCACAAGAAAAGAAAAACAGAACAGACAAAGAGAAGATATATAGGGTGAAATGCATGCTAGTACCTATATATTCAATCTTATAGAAGTGCACAACAAGATTAGCTGATACAAGAGTAATTGACCAAAACAAGGACGATTTAGATAGGTCTGATTCATTTACAGTTTCATACCATTTGCTTCATCAAATGGGACCAAATTGTATTGTAATCATAGATTTTGACAACACTACTTTAAATATAAAACAAAAAAAGATGTTAGATGTTATTCATGTTACAAAGCCTTAATTTCCAATCGTTCAATTTTATCCTACCGCCAACTATTTTGGGACAGCATTTCTTATTGTAGTTCTACTTGTATATCTAAGCGCAATTATAGTTTTTTTTTTTCAAATGCCAAACAAGTTCGTAGCAATTTAGTAGTTGGAAGGGTAACGATACCATCAAAAGTCGGAAGAAAACTATTTTGGGACGAATGTATCCTTCTTTCTTGTTTGTGAGTGCATGTGCTTGATATGCCAAATTGCCAAGTATGCTGAATTGCAACTAAGAGATTAAAGGGTATTAAGGATCAGTGCAGTTCGAGAAGCACATGCTAGGTAAGAATATCAAATACTAGAGTTAAGCATTAGTTAGATTCTACTATCTGTAGGAACAAATTAAACCCCTGTCCTGAATAACAATAATGAATTATCTAGTCAGGGTTTCTTCTAAGGTCTGAGCTAATACAAACTGATCTACCAACTGAGTTTCATGATAATAAAATGTCACTTTCTAAACTCAAATTTGACGTGAATTCTTTCAATGCTTTTGGAACAAGTTTTTATCTTGTACAGTTGTACGTACTTGAGAAATTTGATTCCGTTATCATTCTTTGTAATTAGTATTATTTAATTTTGAACTAAATCGCATGGTAACACTAATTCTTGGGGGCAAAAGAAAAACGAAATCATAACAAATCAAAATTTCTATAGAACGCTAATATTAAAGTGCTTATAACAATCCAATTGATAGTTAAATTTCCATTCATCCCAATCAATAGAACAATTAATCTACTAATATTACAGGAAAACTGAAAGAAAAAAAAAAGCACAAACCAATATCCAAAAGTTTCAGAAAACGAACTTTTTGAGTTTTGCATAAGCTTCGGCTCTAGACTGCTGAACTGCAAGAAATTTCCGAAGCAGGGAGACGGTTTGGAAGTGGCTGGAGCCATTTGAATCAACATCCATGCCTTCTGATATTCTCACCTTCTTCTCGAAATCTTCCATACGTCTCTCGTTTCCGTTTTTCTCTTTCCTTCCATACATGCCCTCATAGTGTATAGGGCCTGGTAAAAAACATTGACCAATCCAAATAAACGATTTTGACTTCTGTTTTTTTTCCCCTCTTGTAGAAGGTTAAAAAATATTTAGTGAGGTTTGGTTCAAATAATATGAAGTGTTTGGGGATTGCTTATTTACAACAACTTTTTTCTTAAATATTTATCAATTATTGTGGTGTTAAATCAGAGTTTTATAAAAAAAAATGTTTGTATTAGCTTGTATCGGTTTCAAAACGTAATAAATTGATAAGTTGTTTTTTAGTATTTAACAAATTTTGCTTATCATTCTTTTGTATTCTCAATCAATTAACATACATAACATAATTGAAACCATTCCTCTCGTCTCCACTGTTCATCTCCTATATCGCAGATTCTTTTTTCTTCTTCTGCCACCGGAGATGGCCCAAGTTGGTGGCAGTCCATTCCTCTCGTCTCCATGATTTCGATTTCATTCTCTCATTACACTAGGTTCCTCACATCATATGATTTCGTTTTCTGTAGGTCGATTTTTTTTACCATTTTGATTTCAGTTTTTATAGGTGAAGGTCGATTTCGATTTCTCTAGGTGATTCCGATTTCTGTAGGTGAACATCGATTTCTTGTACTTGAAGGTCGATTTTGAATTCTATAGGTGAAGTCAATTTATGTGTACGATTTTGATTTCTTGTATTGAAGGTCGATTTTGATTTCTATAGGTAAAGGTCATGACCTGTGTTCGTGAGTAAGGAGAAATTGGTTTACGGTTAAAAAGGTAACTTGGTTTCCAAATCTGATAAGTTAGAAGGGAGTAACTTATCAAAAACTCTTTATTACTGGTTTGGTATCGGTATAAACATATTTTTCTTTTTCCAATCCGAACACTAAAAACGGTTTATTACCGATACCATACCGGAATAAGTCAATAAGCAGTTTAAATAAGCAATCCCAAACACCCCTTAATTGGAAGTTCAATGAAATGAAGTGTAATTTGATCAGGTTCGAAAATGTTACTATGAATTTGAATGAAATCTGTTAGGAATATTGGAATAAATTTGATTAGTTCGTTAAATATAACTTTAAAATTGTAATAATTTAATGATAAAATCAATTTATAGGTTGGAGATGGTAGTGGTGGTGACGAAGACTACAATAGTAAGAACAATGGTGTGAAGGCATGCATTCATCAAGCTAAGGAATCTACTTGCAATGAATCCCCTAATGGATCATAATTAGGGGGTGGGGAAATTTGGTAGAATCATTTATTTATTTAATATTTGAGTTAATTAATCTCTTAATGTTTTTGTTTTTTGTTTTAAAAATAAATCAATTTTATTTAAGGTTAACTAAAATAAAAAAAAATTGAAACAAAGAAATGCAGGTTATTTAGTTAACAAAACCGTGACCTACAAACTAGGGGTATCCAAAAAACCATTGGACCGCTCAAACCGGTCGAACCAAGTCATACCAACTCGTTTTTTGCGGTTTGAGCGGTTTGGTTTGGTTTAAAAAATAGCCAAATTGGGCAGTCATGTCCGGTCTACAGTCTGGAACTTTTTTAGACGGTTTGGACCAACCGCCAAATACATACATACATACATACATACATACATACATACATACATACATACATACATACATACATACATACATACATACATACATACA